TAACCACTGAACCATCTCTCTAGCCTTTATTTGTACTTAAAAATGAAGTCATTAGAAAACATAGACTTACCAGTATGGCTCATATATGTGGCTTATGTTGAACATCTGTTGGATGGCACCATTTGTGAATAATTCTTACACTAATTATGTGTTTAAAAAGATCAACATCTAGAATATACTGGGTTAAATAAAATATGTCACCAAATTAATTGGTTTCTTTTCTGTTTTCTAACCCATTAGTAAAACAAGAATGACTTTTGTGGCTTATTCCCCATCACTACCCATGTACAACACTGTTCTCCACCCTCACTGGCTTTCTAATCCTGTCTTTTTCATTAGGCTGTGCTTTCCCCATGGAACCAAAGACTATCTTTGTAGGCTTTGGCCTTAAGACAGGGTACACAGATTCTTCTTAAGGCATTACTGACATAAGGCTTTACTGACAATCACAGAAGCACAAATTGCTTTGCTGGACTATCAGGGTTGTGGGGAAAATTCTAATTCTGAATTGAGGACCCAGAGGAATCACATGCCATTACCAGCATAGGCAACAAAGCTTGTATTTCCTAGGCTTAGCTCCAGGGCTTCCTGTTAGTCCCAGGGAGCTGGAGATAGCATTAAACTCAAGGAATTTTAAGGGGTTCTTAATTGCAAATGTAATTTGAAACATCTGCGGCCTATATCACGAAGGAGTTAGCAATGAGGTTTTGTTTTGTTTTGTTTTGTTTTGTTTTGTTTTGTTTTGAGTCAGGTTCTCACTATGTAACTCAGGATCCTCCTTCTTTAGATATCTGAGTACTTGTGCTAGAATAATAAGAGTGAGTCTTTATGGTAAACTTTAGATTTAAATGAGCTGGAGAGATTGCTCTCCAGTTAAAAGCACCTGCTCTCCAGGCATGGTGGCCCACACCTGTAATCCCAGCATTCTGGGAGGCAGAGGCAAATGGATATCTGTGAGTTCAAGGTCAGCCTGATCTGCAAATTGAGTCCAGGACAGCCAAGGCTACACAAAGAAACCCTGTCTCGAAAAAAACAAAACAAACAAACAAACAAACAAACGGAAAAAGCACCTGCCCTTCTTGCAGAGGACTCAAGTATGGTTTCTAGCATGAACATGGGGTGACTCACAACTACCTGTATGTAACTCCAGCCCCATCAAGTCTGATTCTCTCTTTGGGTATCAGAGGGCACCCACACACATGTGGCACGCAAACCCATCTACAGATAAATAAAAATAATTAAAAAAATGTAAAAAAAGAAAAAATCTTAAATGTGCTTATTGATTTATTTTTGTTTGTTTAACCAAGTTTGTTTGTTGACGATGGGATTACCACACACAGCTTTAGCCACCATCCACCATGCCCAGCTAAACAAAAAAAAAAAAAAAATGTTATCAGAAATGGACTTCGTTAAAAGACATTTTTAATATGGTCTTTTGAGATAGAGTGTCACTATTTAGTCCTGTCTGTCCTGAAAACCAGGCTGGCCTCGAATTCATAAACATTTGCTGCCTCTGTCTCCCAAGTGCTGGATTAAAGGTGTGTGCCACAACTCCTGGTATAATATAGATTTCTAAGTATAGGAGTTAAAAAAAAAAAAGAAAGAAAAAAAGGCCGAGATATACCCAAGTGTATGTATGAGCTTCTTAAAGGAGACTCACCTAAATAAGTTTTTCTCTCCCTCAGATTGATTGATTGATTGGTTGGTTGGTTGGTTGATTGAGTGATTGATTTAGAAGAGGGTGGAGCTGGAGTTATACGTAGATGTGAGCTGCCCAGCATGGATACTGGTCCTCTGCAAGGGCAGCAAGAGCTCTTAACTGCTGAGCAATCTCTCCAACCCCTAAGGAAACTTCATAAATGTAATTATGGTCCAGGCCTTGTGTTCTTCAAAATTAAATATAGAAATAATAAAACAATGTTGTAAAAACTCCATACAAAAACATTCAGTAGAATTTCTTCTGAGGATGGAAACTTCCAGTATGGTTAAATATTAGGCACACACAGCTATAAAGTATTACTGAATTTAAATTTACGTGTAGATACATGAAACTAGTGACTACATTTTTTTTTTCTTTTCCTTTTTGTCTTTTATTTCTTTTTTTTTTATCTTGTAGTTTCATGTTATATTTTAGTGGCTGTATTTGATACAGTACAGTCCAATTATTTCAGCGTTCCTCTTCCTTGTCAAAAGAAGCCAGATGTGGTGATGCACAGCTTTAATCCCAATACTCAGGAAACGGAGACAGGAGAATCAGAAATTTAAGGGCAACCTTCCCTAAAGAACTAGTATGAAGCCAGCCTGGACTACATGAAACCCTGTCTCAGAAAAACAAACAAATGGATAAATAAATAAATATAAGAGGATCAAGAACATTAAGCATCCTTAATGTAATAACAAATCTGTACCATTTTTATTCTCCATCGTCTTCTTTATATATTTATATATTTATAAATTAAAATTAATAAATCATCATATTCATTTTCCTATGTTTTAAGATATTTTGTCTATTTTTTTGGTGGTGGCACATGTCTTTTTTTATTTTAATCACAGTTTATTTACTTTGTATCCCAGCCGTAGCCCCCTCCCTCATTCCCTCCCAATCCCACCCTCCCTCATCTCCTCCTTGCCCCCTTCGGAGTCCACTGATAGGGGAAATCCTTCTCCCCTTCTATCTGATCCTAGTCTATCAGGTATCTTCAGGACTGGCTGCAATGTCCTTATCTGTGGCCTTGCAAGGTGTAACAATTAGGCTAAATGGCACTCTGAGTGAAACTAATTTTATTTTCATCTCGGGTAATAGCCTATTAAGTCTTCAAGAGTTATTGACTGCGTCTTGGGAAAACAGTAAACAGCCATTTGAATAAACATCCCATGATTACTGAACAAAGAAAAAAAGGTGAGGGCTGGAGAGATGGCTCAGAGGTTAAGAGCACTGGCTGTTCTTCCAAAGGTCCTGTGTTCAATTCCCAGCAACCACACAGTGGCTCACAACCATGGATGATCGGATCTGGTTCCCTCTTCTGGTCTGCTAGCACATAGGCAGGTAGACTACATTATAAATAATGAATAAATAAATCTTAAAAAAAAAGAAAAGAAAAAAGGTGAAAGGCCTTGAGCACAATGCTGAATTTGCCACAATCTCCTACTTCCTTGCTCTCTGCTTTATATGACCTTAAAAAGGTCAGATTTGAAGCTGGGTATAGAGGTACATGGCTGTGATATTGGCACACTCAGAGACTAAGGCAAGAAGAAAATCAAAACTTCAAGGCCATCCTGGGCTGCATAGTGAGTTGGAAGTCAGTCTGGGCAACATAAGACTAAAAAACAAAACAAAACAAAAAACAGATAAAATGGTCAGATTTGAACTCTGGCACAGGTATTAAACCTATGATGATGACAAGGATGATGAAGATAAGAATTATGATACTAAAATAAGCTGCCAGAACTGAATTTCTAACCTTTGACAGTCCTTCTTGTCTCAGAGTAGCCAGCTCTCTGTTGGGCTACTGAGCCATCAGAAACAATGAATATCATCTTTACAACTAAGCAGGGCAAGGCTGGGTTGGCAGAAGAGGAAATATGCCCATTGGGGCAGTAAAGACAATAATATTCTCCTGCCTGAAAAAAGGCTAGGACAGTGTTACATGCCAAGGGCCAAATAAAGGGAAACTGTGCCCATTTTTTCCCACCAACTTATAAACAAGAACATATCTTATTATGTGGGAGATTAATGAAGGGAAGTTGGCCTTCTCTGCCACTACTGTCTGCTGCAAACTCCTAAAATCACAGTAGCCAGGATTTTAGATGTTTAACTTTTAACCTTCTGCTAAAAAATAAAAGAGGAAAACTTTAGTAGCTGGATTAATATGACTAATTTTTTCCATTTCAGGCCATAGACCACAAAGTACCGGAATTCACAGTAAGCCAGTCTGGATAGGATGTGGGCATGCTTGTAGGAAGCCACACCCAACAACCAAAAATTTCTTATGACTCAGACCAGTTTGTTTTAATAAGAAGATAGACACCCAGTGCTGAAATCGGGTAAGGGAACTTACAGTTAACATAGATTTATGGAGCAGTTTCAGAATCCTGGGCTTAAGCTAGATTAAATTAGATTAGATTGGTAAACATTTCTTTTTATCCACCTTTTAATTATATACATATGGGGTCAGGGAGAAAGCTAGGTCTCAGTGCAGGCCAACATTCAAAAAGTCCATGGTGGGCTTTGTTTTCTTTTGTTTTGTTTTGTTTCTGAGAGTGGAAAATTTCTCTATCGTGCTGTACTTAGTTACTCCATCTGCCCATAAACTCAAATGAACTGTGTCACAAAGGTACACACCATTTTTCCTCATCACCTCAATGGTCCTAATCCGGTCTTGGGGGGTTGAGGGGGCAGTTTTGTTCCCTAGAACTCATCGGGAAATGTCTATAGACACTTTTGGTTCTTATAACTGGAGAGGTGTATGGTGCCTGGGATCAAGGGAGTAAACACACTCCCTCACAGCCCTGCACCCGTGCCAAGGTAGAAAATCCCTGCACCATCATGACATGGACAATAACTCATGTCTCCAAGAGTGTAACAGGGCATTGAGGGAAGAACATCTACTGCCTCCTTTGATCCCCTGTGTTTACTTGCACACTTGCAAGCCAGTCTGATAGAATTCATTCTTTGATTTATAACTCCAGAAAGAACATTTTGAAGCATGAAGACAATGACCCACTTGCAAAACTTAACATGCAAATCCTATAAACATAAGATTCACTGCAACTGTTTGTAGTCTGCGGGTCAAACTTAGTCAAAAGAAATTATAAAATATCAGACATGAAGACATTTCAAAGTTTTCATAGCCCTTGTCCACTTTCAGCATGACATCATTTAGCATGCTAAAACAGGTGTAAAAAGACATTCCACACTAGCTATCTTTATAATCATGTTCAAAGTTCTTAAGGTGCCTAATGCCAACTTTTTCACTGCCTTAAAGGAGGGGTGTACTCACAGGCTCGGTTCCTGGTTCTGTAAGTGCAAGTATAGAGACTGCAGGACCTCACTGGCATAGACTTCGGAACCCGGAACCTTCTCCATAGCAATGTACATGAAGATGCTTGCAGAATCACTCTCAGGTGACTCATCACCGTCATCTTGGAATATCCACCAGTGACAAAACACCTCCAGGGAGCCTAAAAAACCTGGAGGAAGACAGAGGAAGGAAAGCTATACCCAACAGGAGTGAAAAGCCTGAGGAAACTTGGGAGGAGAACACTGGGAAGGCCAGTTCACACCCTGATGTGGAGGCAGGGCCAAATGAGAGTCAATAGTTTATTCACGCTTGTTTTGCAAACTGAGTGCCTTGGTGGCATGCAGGGTTCAGAGGACTGACTCATGAGCTTGACCATTCCCTCAGCATTGGCAAACATCTGAGGCCCGGAGGGAAATGTTCTTCTTCTGACACACAAATAAAGACTGTTTGTGGTTCCTACTGTTCCTTAAAATTAAAAGAAAATTTATTCCCTCAAATCCTGATTAGTTAACCCCATATGGTATTTACATGTAGGAAGAATTCAATGATTAATGTTCCTTTCAGGCAGCCTGAATAAGAAAATAAATCATTTGTTTCTGGCTTGCTTTAAAAAAATAAAACAAAAACAAACAAACCAAAAACCAAAAACCAAAAAACAGTAAATACATCTTGCCAAAATAGCTGTGAGTGGTTTCGAAATCTAAGCTTAAGTACAAGTAATGACTCTTGCCAGTTTTTTAGTGTAACACTGGCCCTGGCACACAGGAGAAATGCACAATGTTAAGTCTTGAACTTTGTCTCTAGCACTCACACATTCACTGGGAAAGCATCAGAAGCAATGTTTTCCAAGGTGTTCACCACAGAGACCTCAGATTATGGGGACATCAACTCAGGATGTTTCTCTTCTAGCAGTCCCTCACCCCTGCTCCACTATTGCTTCATTTAAAGCCTCCTGAAACCTCCTGTGACAAGTGAACAAACAAGTTCTGAAATAAAAGGCTACGTTGTTTAAAAGCTATGTTCTTTCCTAAAACCACTCTCCCATCAGCTGGGCCTGGTTAATCCCTGCCTCCTTTTACTGGACCGATTATAGAGCCACTGCCTTTTTTTTTTAAGATTTATTTATTTATTATGTATACAATGTTCTGTCTGCATGTACACCTGCACACCAGAAGACAGCATCCAATCTCATTATGCATGGTTTTGAGCCACCATGTGGTTCCTGGGAATTGAACTCAGGACCTCTGGAAGAGCAGCCAGTGTTCTTAATCCCTGAGCCATGTCTCCAGGCCTAGAGCCACTTCCTTAAAGGTTCCCTTGACTGTGCTCACTGGGTTAGCCTAACACCCTCTTCTTGTGCTTATCACAGCTGAACTAGGCAGCTGATCAGAAATACAGATTATAACTCCATTATGCCCAGAATCTAAGCTCCATGGTGGGAGAAGTCTCTCTTGGTCATAGTTGCATCTCTTGGGGACAGTGCCTTACAGAACATGGGTATAGGGACTGGAGAGATAACTCAGCAGTTAATGGCAATGGCTGCTCTTCCAAAAGACCTGAGACTCCAGTTCCAAGCAATCCAAAGCCCTCTTTCTGGCCTCCATAGGCACTACATGCATGTAGTGCAGATATATATGCAGGCAAAATACCTCTGTACACATAATCTTTTAAAAAACAATAATAAAACATGGAGTTGGGGACCTGAGCAAGTTTCCTTGTGGTGGTGAAGTTGTTGATCCTAATTTTAAGAACTGAGAACTGTGACACGACAACCAGTATGTTATTGAACAGTACTAAGGGTCTTTCCTAGTTTTTTTTATTTTAATTTCTATTTATTTTATTTTATTTATTACAGTGTTAAGTGTCCCATGGTCTCAAGTATGCCAGGCAAGTACTTTACCACAGTTATACCCCCAGACCACATGGTTTTCTTATATTTTTGATATACCCTTTCAGTAGAGCATCTCATATCCCTTCTTATAGGACATAAAAGATCCACAATGTCTTGCCTAATCTACATAAGAAACTACCAGAGTATGATTCTAATCTAGGCATTCAAGATGAGAATTCTCCCAACACTTTTTGTTGTTGTTTCAACATTTATTATCATTTTCTTTGTTCCAGATACTGTGTTGGATACTCTGATTCTAAGGAGGGATGAAAGTCATAGAAAAGAATAAATCCTAATACATGTTTTAATGTTATTCTGCTGGAGGGAAAAAAGCCTGTTTCTTCTCTGTTGCTGTATATTTCAGCTTACACTTTCAGGTTATAGTCCATCCTAGAGGGGAAGAAGGTCAGGAACTGCAGCATGAGCTTGAAGCATATGGCATGGCTCGCTTGCTTGATGGCTTGCTCCGGCACAAGCTCATCTAGCTTCCTTGTCTAGCTCAGGACCACCTGCCCAGGGAATGGTAATATCCAAAGTGGGATGGGCCCTCTGACATCAACTAATAGTCAAGACAGATACAGACACAACTTGATAATGTTGACAGTTAATGCTAACCAGGACAATCTCACATATAAAGTTACACATTAGTTTCTACCACCACTGCTGATTACACAAGAACAAGAAAATATGCTATGAGTATCTGTTTGTTTTAAACAAGGAAACTGTGGTGAACTTTTTTTTTTTTTTTTTTTTTTTTTTTTTTTTAAGGAAACAGCTTTGTCATTTCTACTTCATCAATCTACGCCAGACCTGTAAACTGGTGTGGCATGCTAAACATTTGTTGTATCCTGAGTGTTTTGAAGATAGAAAAATGTTGATCAAGCCCAGTACAGTACTATGTGCCTTTAATCTCAACACTTTAGAAATGGAAGCCGGGGGAACAGAAATTTAAAACCATCTTTGGTTACATAGTCATTTTGAGGCCAGCCTGGGCTACATGAGACCCTATCTCAAAAAAGGGTATGGGAAACCGGGTGTGGTAGTACATGCCTTTAATCCCAGGACTTGGGGAGGCAGAGTCAGGCAGATCTCTGTGACTTCGAGGCCAGCCTGGTCTACAAAGCAAGTCCAGGACAGCCCAAGCTGCACAGAGAAACCCTGTCTTGAAAAAAAAACAAGAACAACAAAAAAAGAGTTATTGTGGGAGCTCTAGATAGATCAGTGGGTAAAGTTACTTGCCATATAAGCCTCGGACCTGAGTTTGATTCCTGGTGGAAAGATAGAACTGACTTCTGGAAAATTGTAGAATTTGTCCTCTCACTGACACCTGTGTACATGCACACCCATGCATAAAAACAATAGCAAGAATGTAAGATAATCGTGTTCAGAATGACATGATTCAAAAAGCAGCTTCACATTATCTGCATGTCAGATCTGAAACAGAGTGCGGGAGTTTCTCATCATTTGTAAAGTAACGTGCACTGTCTTGTATAAAGAAAGACAAACTAAGGGCATGTAATACTGACAATAGGAAAGTACAGAGACTCATGGTTGCTAGGGCGTGAGTGAAAGGGAGCAACTGGCCATTTAGTGGGTAGGGTTTGTTTTTGTGGTGACGGAATATTTTGGAATTGTCTGCTTTCTTCTGTACTGCTGTCCCTGATCTTGCTCCTTTTGCTCTACAGGGAAGAAGGAAAGCTACACACAAGTAAACGGAGAGAGAAGTCCTATGGGTAGCGACAGCAGTGGCCAGTGAAAACAGGAGCAGAGTTACTTCCTATGGTTGCTTTACCAGGGACAGTCCAGGGCTCCAGGCAGAACAGTAAGTGTCATCAAGCCATCTCCCCAGGTGGTTACAGTGATCTCTCACCCAGTACCCAGGATGCAGTACAGATCACTTTGTCAAATGTACATCCTGGAGCAACATAGAACATCAATCACTCAAGAGGAGAAATAAAAAGTTTGTGAGGACCATGAGGGACCTTACTTCGAGGCCTGACTCTCTACCTAGGATTTTTAGGCAAGGGATTTCTAAACTGTGTGGAAATTTGCTCAAAAAGTGTTTGAAATTTTCCAGCCAAAGTTAAAATCAATTTTGTTTATAGTTTTATGTTTCTGGGTGTATATCTCTTTGGACAAAGCATGTATATGCCAAGCCTGACTCAGGATCTGAACACAATCTCGTGAGAAACTTAAAAAAGATTATCTTGCTAAGGTGGTGGTGGGGGAGGGGAGATAGCTCAACTGGTAAGGTGGTTGGTAGGCAAGCATGAGGATCTAAGTTTGCAATCTTCAGCACACACGTGAAAAGCAGGTGTCTCAGAGCATGCCTGTAATCTCAGCACTGGGCAAACAGAGACAGAAGGATTCCTACTGCTGGTCAGCTAGTCTAGCCAATTGGAGAGCTCCAGGTTCAATGAGAGACCCTGTCTTTAAAAAAAGTGATGGCTGAGGAAGATACATACAAATAATCTTTGTCTTTTTTCCAAACCAGTTTTTAAAATCATATTTGTGTATTTATTCATCTTACATCCCCTCCCTCCTCTCCACCTGGTCCCACCCTCCCACTTTCCTTCCCTCTTCCCTTTTCCCTCTCCTCAGGAAAAAAAAGGGGAGCACCTACAAACCTACCCTAGAACATCAAATTTCATCAGGACTCAAAGCATCCTCTTCCATTGAGGCCAGACCAAATAATCTTGATAGTGTCTTCAAACAAATAATAATCCTTTCTTTTCAAATATCTTCTTTAACTGAATTAACTGAGCAGCTTTACTGGCCACCTCAGTTCAGCATCTGATTCTACTTTCTTTTCTTGATCTTTAATTATTAAAAACTTCAAATTTACAGAGTGCCCCCCCACGTACTTGCATTCATGGATTCAGCCCAATATGAATACGAAATATTTTTTAAAGAATTGCACTTGTATTGAACATAGACCACTTATTTTCAGTTTCAATATTTTTTTTTGTAATTTAAAATTGTTTTTCAGTGGGTCTCCTGGTACAAACCTAGCACTGAGAGGCTAAAGTAAGAAGAGGTCTAATACGAGGCTATTCTGGGCTATCCTAGTGAGACTCTTTCCAAAAAGGGGATATCAAAATAAAGAAATGAAAATATTTAACATACATTAAAAACATAAAATTGTGCATATTTACAGAGTACTATATGATATTTCAATACATGTATATATTATAACTGTGTCATTTTATGTAAAGGACGTGAGCATCTTTAGATTTTGGTTTCTGAGTAGATTATACAATCAATCTCCACGGATATTA